CTGCCGGCTCTACATTCAGCTGCAAGAGCCCTATATAAAAGATCCTGCTGCCTATCCCAAGCTTCAGGTAAAGCATTGACCATGGAGCATAGTGTTAAGGAGTGATTTGTTAACTGGTGCAAAGATGAAGCCATGGGTTTCACAGATGACAAGATCACTAAGGGAAGTACTGTTCATGGCAAGTTAAAGTTATTTCATATTTTCTGGTGCAGCCATTATAGGATACCAACTCGTCATTGTGATAAACTTAACCTGGATTCAAATTGACTACATACAGTTACACATCCTAAATACTTGAGGTTCTTTTAATACAGTCCTTGAAACAGATGAGCATGCTTTTTATGTTCATTCCCCTTCTTTAGAAAGGCAAAGTAGACTTTCAGTCTAGAATAATGGAGCAAGAAAGGGTGTAGTAGGACTGCGTTCCTTAAGCTCACATTACTCTTCTGTCCCTGATGACACAGTCCTATGCAAAAAGCATTGCTGATGAGGGAATATTGTGTTGAGTTTTGTAATATTTGAGGTTGCCATTCTTTTGCAAGCCTGGCTGCTGTGAGGGGACAGGGCCTGAAGGCATCAGAGGATGCAGGATTGAGGCAATGAGCAGAAACGAAGTATCTGCTGGACCAGTTCTTTCTGGGAAAGGGGTGGCTTGGGTGTATCTCATACCTCCCAACTGAGAGGGCAACAGAGCCTGAGAAGTGGACACCTGTGTTGTGTTGGACAAGGAGTTAGGTCAAGCTATGCTTATTGGCATGGTCTCAAAATGGCAAGGGGTAGGAAAGAGACCAGAAGCCATCAATATTAGGGGAGGCCTTAGGGTAGCTGGATCCAGGCAATAGTATCCAGGTGTGAAATTCTTTCTCAAAGAAAGGTAGAGCTGCAAAAAAGTCCTAGGAATCAATGCTGCCAGGGGTGTAGTTTTGAATAGTCTCAACTCCTTGGTAAGCAGCTGCCTAATTTTGAAATGCATCTCCCTCACACTGCAAAGCAACTAATGTTTCTGTTTGCAATGCAGATGCTGGCATACATGTTCTACTCTGTGCCATACTATGTGATTGCTCTGTATGGTCTACTGGTGCCTGGTTGTTCCTGGATGCCTGATTTAACCCTTATACACGCTGGAGGAACAGCTCAGGTATTTCTTTGCAAAATGTTCACTTTTGAATTGCAAGTCAATAAGTAGAGACCTATGGAATAATTAAGGGGTGCAGGGTTGATCTTCCCATTCAGGCTTTATGCTGATCTAAGTCAGATCACCTTTTTGTATGTGTAAAAAACCCCTTAATTTAAGAGAGTAGAGAATCAAGCCTGTTACATTTCCCTAATGACTGCATTCTTGCTTTAGCAGACTTCTTCTGCAGAATGTTTTTTATTGGGCTTATTGAAACCTTATTAACCATCATGCACTCTTTAGCTTAGACCATGAAGGAAACCTGTCTTAAAGCTGTGACAATCATGTAAAAAAAACCCCAAACACAACAAAACAGCACAATACATTGTTTCCATAATAAGTGTTGGCCAACTAGGTAGTTTGAAATATATAAGTGGAAAAAAGTGTCTCCTAGTCACACAAAATGTACAGTATCAGTTGATGATGTTGATAAAACACTGGGAACATCCTGGGCCACAAACCACAGTAACACCCAGACATGCTTGTGTTGCCAAAGCAGACCAGTGATCATACTTCCTTAACACATTCTGTTCTGATTCTCTCAAATAAACAACTGTAGTTAATTACTAGCTGGTGCTGATGCTTATGAGAAGACTGAACAAACCCAAACAATTCAACAGGAACTGCTGAATGACTTCTCGTGACATACAGATGACCATTAAACCAGTTGAGACACAAGGACAATTGATTTGTAGTGTATGTAGGAAATGAAATGTGCTCTGAGCATCGAGACAGTGCAGACAATATGCACATAACCCTGCAGCAACAGTCAGAACACAGGGACATGGCAATAAGTGTAATTCGAACACCACTATTAGACAAACACAGACCAACACTTTGTTCCTCAGGCCTGAGATAATCATGGATACAAACTACAATCCACTTCAACTGCCCAGCAGTGATGGTGGAGTGACATTTTATATTTGTGAACAGTTACCACAGAGAACATGACTTTATTTTCTAAACAGTTTATAGAGAGTCTTGAATTATCAAGTCATATCAAAGCAGAATCTGGCAAACATTAGCAAGGAGGTTTAGATGCTCAAAAGGTATCATAAATATTATACAACTCTGTTTGGCCCAAATCTAATCTGAAAACACCCACAAGCTAGCTAAGTAGGCAAGGCAGTGTCAGGAACTTCTCTCTACTGACATTACTCAGGTTTCATGATTTCCCCAGACAATCAGGAAAGAAATCTCTCCTTCAAATACTATTTAGCACAAGAAAAAGTAAACCAAAAGTCAGAGTGTGCTGACTATCACAGCCTTGCAAACTTACCAGAAAGCTCAGCCTCCCAGTCTGGAGGTGATTTTTGTATGTTGGTTTGGTGTTTTGTTGGTTTTTTTTGCTTTTAAATGTTTCCTGTAACAAATGCCTTTTTTTTAATGGCACTTTGTACCTTTTAGATGTGTGATGCACATTTCATTGCTGAAGTGTAAAACCCCTCTGTTGTCCTTTGTAGTTTGGCCTCAGGATGTCAATGTACACAATAGACTAACACTCATAATTTCCCATTTCACTCTTTAAAGCTTGTCCTGGCACCAGCAAAAACTGTGGACTGACACAAACTGATTAAGAGAGCTGTATGTTGCTGCACACTCCCCGTATTTTATCTTGCTACAAAAAAACATTTCTTGACCTTTGGAAGGTTTTTTTTTTTTGTGTAGTTTTTACTTTAATGCACTGCTGGATGAACTTCAGTCATCCTACAGCTGAACATGATTTAATTGATTTGACTTGGGGAACAGTGAGCAGCCTGGGATGTAAATGCATGTGACAATGAACTGAGGATTCTTTCGACATTATTTTTGTGTTTTTTCATTTTGAGGCACAAAACACATTTCCAGGTTTGTCTACTGTTTCCTCGAGTTGAAACATTGTAATTGATAATTAAAACACATGTAGTTACTGAAACATATTTTGCTTCCTATCACAAAGGTCCCATAAAGGTAAATGTGGGCACTGCTCCCTGGGAATGAACACTGCTCCTACAGATGGGGAACGTGGAGATTTTAATTATTTTTATTTCTATCATTATGATGTACTTTTTACAAAAACAAGTCACAAAATACCATGTGATGCATCTAAACTAAGAACCTCTAAAAGTGCCTACTGACCTTTCACACACAGAGACATATTTACTGTTTTTCAGAATTACATATAACTCTCAGCTTGAATTACTCCATTACTAACATTCAGACTCCAGAACCAGTTGTGACCCTTATTAGACTTCCTGAAGCTTCAGGAGGAGCTCTTTAAATTTCACATGAGTAAAGTACTGGGAGATTTGATTATACAGAGGGGTTGGAACATATGAACTTGATGAAATTGGTATTTCCCTGTGCAAGTGAGCCATGTGAGAAGATGAAGAGCCACAGCTTTGCAATCCTAACCATTCTGTCTCACCAGTTCTCTGTAGCCCACTTCTCTGCCCTCTCAAATGTAGAAAGTTTCTCTACTCCCTAAGTGTTTTCCTTAATCCTGCAGCTTTTGGTGGGTAGTTTCTGCAGTCCCTCTTGTCTACAAGAGGCCTCAAACCTAAGGAATGTATTTTTCTAGGTTACTCTCCCTACACTCTATTTGATGGCTTTCCTTAGAATCATGAGACCTCATCCATACCCTTCCAAAGTTACAGTCTTTGCCTGATTTTAGTCAGTCTCAGAGAGAAGGCACAGGGGGAAGAAAGACTCCTAACCTTTTTCCATGCTCTTTTCTGTCCCTAGCTGCAGGGCTTTCTTGTCCGCAGGGTAAGAAATATTTGAAGTATAGCCTATGATTAGGCAACAAGGCAAAAAATACAGTAAAAAATTCAAATCCAAACTACTTCATACAGACAAGAAGCTCAATGAGTAGCAGGCATACACACATTGCAGCTGTCAAGCTGGGCACTGCCACATCCAGCACCAGGAGCTTCCAGCTGCTGTGGGAAGGCCTGAGCAGCAGATTGGCTTGGAGGATAACAGACACACGTAAGGCTACCTTAGAAGGTTACATGCAGCATCTCATTTGGTTGATTTCTCAGCCAAGGTTTAGGGGTTTGTTTGAGCCTCAAAATTCTCCACTTGGAGAGGGTTCAGTAATAGAAAGCACCAAGGAATGGCTTATTCTCTGAGATGCCCCAATCTCAGTGAGGTGACACAACAGACTCGAGGTTTCTCTCACTTAGCACAGCACCAGCCTATTGCACACACAGGCACAGAGCTCTGCAGTGACTCACAGCTCTTGTCTTACTGCTCAAAATTATGGATTTGGTGCAAGTCTGCCTGGTACTTGAAGGAAGAACAGGACTGGGCTACTGGTGAGTGAGAGAGATCTGCTTTTAAGACACACCCCCTGCCCCAAGGGAGAAAAAAAAGCAGCAGCAGGAGCAGTCATGGGAAGGAAACACATGAGATTAAAGACATAACACAATTTACACAGAGGCAAGTCAAATAAATTTTAAAAAAAGTGACTTTAACACACCTAAATATCCTCCCTGGTAATGAAAGGAAGAAGCAATGTGTTTCACAGAAAAACAAGCCTAATAAACAGTAACTTCATTGTATGGTGCATCATTGGCTAGTAAAAACCTTTGTGGGCTACAGACAGGACATGTTACTGCTTTTTGGTTTTACAATGCTCAAAGCTCACTAATGTGCCACAACTCTTGTAAAAGATAAGACCACACAATAAGGCTTAGATATTCAAAGGCATCTTGGAGACTCTGTGAGTTCTGTGTCTCTCATAAGCAGCCCCTTACAGCTCCTTCTGACAAGGTTTACTATGAGCTATTAGGAATTTACTATCAGCTTACTATGATGGATGGCTGGCCATGCCCAGAGACAGGCAGGCCTCACAACCCTCCAGAGAAGTAGGTAGCTTAGCATCTTGTTCAACCCAGAAGAGGCTCTAAAATGCTACCAGGAGGCTCTTAGTGTCTAGGTAAATATCAGACAGACCCAAACATCCTACCTGCTATTTGATGATGGCTGGCAATCTGCATGGGAAACTGCTGCCTTGTGTAACACAAGGGCTTTGCTGCTGAGCACTAATGCTCTGGCTGCCTGGGCTGAGAGGGCTCCCACAGCCAGGAGAGGTAGCAGGGATCTGAGCAAGCCCACCCAGGTGAGAGCAAATGGGCTGCAAGAGACAGACTGAATTAGGAGGCCAATATAAAAAGGCTGCTGAGAGTGTGCCCCTGAACATCTGTTTGCTGTGTAATAGCTATTTACAGAAACATGCTAAGTGGCACTCTGCTGAAGTGTGTTTGTACTTGATTTTGTTGATTACTTCGTTTCCTGGCTCAGGTTTGCTCGATGAGCTCTCCCCATTCAGTGGAGGTGGTTAGAATCACCTGAAAACCAATTTCCTTTCCTGTTTTGATGGATGGGCTCAGCCTAACCTTTTGCTAGGTGGTATATTGAAACAGCTGCACTGTATTTCCCTTTCTACTTTGCTGTGA